GTGTGTGTGTGTGTGTGTGTGTGTGTGTGTGTGTGAGAGAGAGAGAGAGAGAGAGAGAGAGAGAGAGTTTTTCTGCAAATGAAGTACATGAACAAAAATCTCACAGAACATCATCTTTTGAATGTTCATTCCACGAAGAACATTAGATTTGTAAAATAATGAACAAGTGATAGACATTTAAACAATGTAACAAGTCAAAATGTCTACACGCACGCACGTACATACAAGATGAACACATAAGAGACATTTGGAGAATATAGCAAGTGATAATATCAATACACAAACACACACACACAATGATTTGACCGTCCTGAATAAGACGATAAGTTATGTCATTATCAACTAATTCAGCAATTAATTAGCATACCGACTCAAGAGATTGTTCTACCGAGGCAACTTCTGTCAGAAACTCTTGAGCTGCCTCTGCAAGGTTAAAGATCATTACACGCCCTTGTCTAGCATTGTGATTTGCCTGCCCCAACAGAAAGGCCACATAAAATGAGGAGGAGGAGAAGAGATTATTCTAAATGAATCTTATGGTATGCATGATGGTGAACATCGAGATGTTATTTAGATGACACCCAAGATAAAATTAGGTGCAAATTCAGAAAGCATAGCAATAATAAAGATCTAATGTCGGGGCTGATAGAGGAATTCTTTCTAGTATCAATTTTTATTGATGAGAAATGTAAAAAACAAAAGAGCAAGACCACTTGTTGATACAAATAGAGAAGTTACCAAGAAGGGAAATTATCCAGCACAGGAAAACCCTTCCCATATACCCCTTTTTGTATGAATACCAGCTGCTCTATTAGCTTCCTAATGCACAAGTTGAAAACAAAATCTTCAATTAGCAAGAGATCTCATGAATATTGACAAAGCCATCTTCGATCTAGAACAATGATTCTTTCTTATCAGTAGCATCCGTTATACGATGACAGAAGACTGGGCTTTATTCTCCACTTCCTATTCCTAATGCACCCTAGGAGGATGTTAGCATGGATTTTGTTTTGGGACTTCCGCAGACTCAAAGAGGTATGGATTCTATATTCGTGGTGGTGGATAGATTCTCAAAGATGGCTCATTTTATACCTTGCAAGAAGACTCTGAATGCCACACATGTTGCTAACTTGTACTTCAAAGAGGTGGTGAGGTTGCATGGTGTTCCCAAGACGATAATTTCAGATCGGGATATAAAGTTTCTCAGCCATTTTTGGGGAACTTTGTGGAAGAAATTGGGCACTCGATTACAATTTAATAGTGCTTATCATCCGCATACATATGGCCAGATTGAAGTGATAAACCAACCCTTGGCAATCTTTTGAGAAGTACTTTGAGGGAAAAGAAGAAACATTGGGACCTAGTACTGCCTCAAGCCGAGTTTGACTATAAAAGTGTTTGCAATAAATCTACTAGTAAGAGTCTTTTTGAGGTGGTATATGGGAAAACCCTACTCATTCGCTTGACTTGGTTCTTGTCTAGGCCAATGTGGAGGGTCATACTACTGTTGAGGACTTGGTTGAACAAATGAAAGGAGTGCATGAACAATTGCATGCTAGTCTAGAAGCCAATACAGCCAAATACAAGGAGGCAGCAGACAAACATCGTTGTTTCAAGGAGTTTAATGTGGCAGATTGGGTAATGGTGTATCTCAGGAAGGAACAACATTCAGTGGGAAAATACAACAAGCTGGATGATCGCAAGGCAAGACCATTCAAGATTTTGAAGAAGGTGGGCAGCAATGCTTACAAGGTCGCTTTGCCTTCACATATGGAGACTTCGGACATCTTCAACATTGTTGATCTGTCAGAGTATCGTGGTCTGGAAGTGCATGAAGGTGAAGATGTGAACTCGAGCGCGAGTTCTCCTCAACTCAGGGAGAATAATGATGGTGATCAGAGCACAAGTAGCCATGGGTATCTTCTTAGGGAGCGACAAATTCCTCCTAATTTTTCCTCATATTTAGATGATGAAAACCCTAAGAAGGCTTCCAAGAAGAACAAGAAGAGCGAGAAGTAGTTTGAATTCTTTTTTTTAGTGCTAAGAATATTTAATATTTTTATTTATTTATTTCATTGCTGGACCAGTTAGGGGCTTTTTAGATATTTTAATTAATATGTTAAGGAATTTAGTTTCAATTTATACATAAATTAGGACCTTTTGATCCAAAGTTAATTGTATAGACAAATATTGTCCAAAACAAAAACTTTCCATTGTAAATAAGGGCATGAATGGGCTGGAGAGGCATTCATGTATTCCTTTTTAAGAAAAGAAAATATTTTGTCTTGTAAAAGAAGCCTATGCCTTGAGCCTTAGGTACAAGAAAGCCTTTAGATTTCTCCAAAATTGCTAGAGTCAAGGTGCTTCTTGCTGATTTTCTATGTTTCTTCAAGTTCTCCTACATCACTTTCATGGGCTAGACTTGATGTAGAAGTTGATTTCACAAGACTAATCATTTCCATATCCTTCCACCCAACGTACAAAAATTCAGCCGCCCAACCACCTTGGCGGCCTGTTTCTCAAACTGTCTAGGCATGGCCCAGGTGGGGAGGTCCAGGCGGACTTGTTTAAGGCGGAAGCCTAGGTGGGTCTGGGTGCCTGCCTAATACCACTTAATTATTATTTTTTCTTTTATTTAGTGAGAGAGAAGTAGGTATATGGAGAAAGAGACTTTTATCGTTTGTAATTCTATTCATTTATTTGAGAGAGGAAAAAGTATCCTTTTTCAATATAAGTATACTTTCTTTAATTTTTGTTCATTAAAAAATAAAGTACGAGGCACAGTTCTTCAAAAACCAAAGTATATCCTTTTTCTTTATTTAATAAAATACCTTTCTTTAATTTTTAGCAGAGCAAGAGGGTAAGTTTCTTAAAAAAGCATACATAAGGCAAATTTACACAATAACACACTCACATAGCCATGATATTAATATTACTTTTTTATACATGTGCACATTGCCTTGCATTGATATTAATTTTTTATACAAATCAAAACCAGAAAAGAATGCACCCCCCTCTGCTTTCTTGAACATTTTTACCGCCAATGGCATATAACCATATTCCACTAGTTCTTCAACAAATGTCTAATTCATCGTTGATGAATTTGAATATAACAATTCAGATGGACCGTCTCGCAGTAATAGATGCTTATGTTATTTCTTAGCCTCAATATCAAAGTTATCAAAAAGAGTCAAAGTTAGGTCATATGTAAGGGAATATTGACCTTGGTTAGCAGCTAACCTGATCAATAAGCAAGGAAAGGAGACGGTCAGCATTGTCTTTTGAAAGACCTTCCCCAGGTACAATCTGTAACTTTGGACACTTGAAAGGATACCCAGGCAAGCATCTGAAATATATCACAAAAGTCAACTGAGCTAAGGCATATAGAGAGTTCATTTGCAAAGTAATAAGTAAATTACATTAGCAACCACTGATAAAAAAAATTAATATTAATTTTAGCAACCTCACTAGAAGATGAGCTGAAATTTTATTATGGGTAGAGGATGTATCAGTCAAGAAAGGCCTGCAAAATGCAATACATCTTTTAGTAGATAATTCAAGAGGAGGCTCGCAAAACTAGCTTGCAGGTTCTAAAGAAATAAGCAAATAATTTTCAAGACACCTGAGGGTTATAGAAAACTGTGGCTCACGTGTACTTGAAATAAGTTTGAAGTCCTCTTGGAATATACCATGCCTGAAAAAGCCAAAAAATGGAATCAATATGTCACTAACATGAATTCAATATTTTCTCAAAAGAATGACAAATATATATTTTTTAATAAAAATAAAGAATGACAAATATATGATAATCAATACAACTAAGTCCGGTGGAAACACGAGAAAGGGCACTCATAGTTATTATAATGCTTGTTTAAAAATAACATATATTATAAGTAAAGAATATAAGTGACGTATATAATTAAAGACAAATGCATATCTAAACAGCAACCAGTTTCTCCGAAATAATCATCATCATCATGCAAACCTTATACCAACTATTTGTGGTTGGCTACACGAATCATGTTCCGCTATTCTGCTCTATCAAGAGTACTACCCTAAGTTAGACCATAAGTTATTATATCTTTTTCACTACTCTATCAATATCCTTTGAGGTCTTCCCCTTGCCCTTTTAGAGTCTTCCACTTGTACCAAATCACCCTACCTAACCAGTATTGTTCTAGGTCGATGTTGAACATGATCAGACCACCAAGTCTATTTTTCCTCATTTTATTGCCTATTAGAGCTATCCTTGAGTTCACTCGAATGCATTCATTCCAAATTCTATTCTTCCTTAAGAAATATAATAGAAAGAGATCCATGTATCCAGATGATGGAGATCAAGAGTTGGGTGATTCAAAATTTTATTATTTTTTAATTTCATGAATGTGGGTGTATGTTTTATTTTTTTTATTTCGGTTGAATTTTTAGGGATTATAATGTGATGTTAATCTCCAACACTTAGATTGTATTTTTTTTATTTTTTTTTAACTATTTCTAAGTATTGTTCACAGGTTACCATGCACTATATTGTTCGTGGGTTACTATTCACATGGGTATATATAGAATTTTTTATATTGTTTCGAGATATTTTAGAGTCTTAAATTGTTTAATTGGATCTTAAGTTAATTTTAGGTAGGGTGGCAATGAGTCTAGTGGCTCGGTCCGGCCCTAAAAAATTAGGGCGTCGACCACAAAATGTGGCTTGAGGGCCAGGCCAGGCCCAACCTAGTTCAGACCGGCCCAGCCCTACTGGACCCAATTATTCTTTGTATTACTTTATTTTTTTATTTTTTCCATTTGGCCTGGCCTGGCATTAGTAGGGCTAGGTTGGGCCTAACCAGGGGACGCCCTATTAGGGACAGGTTGGGCCAGGGCCAAGCCATAGCCATGACTGGCCCGGCTTGTTGTCACCCCTAATTTTCAGGTTTCATAGGCTTATAAAATGTGGGACATCATATTATGGGGATGCGATGTTATTGGAATGAATTTTATTATAAAAGAAGAAAGTTCATGTCTGGGCTTGATTTTATAGTCATGCTCTTTCTCTATTATTGCTGATTTTCATGAAAAACATAAATTTCATTTCTCACCTTTCCTTCTCGCATATAAAGAATGTAAGGTGACCCCAAGAGAGAGTTTGACTATGCAATATATGCTCGTGATTATAGATGTCTACATAAAGAGATGGAAGAGAAGGGGTGAAATGAATAGGTGTCCAAGAACTAGGTAGTGGAATTTAAAAAATGAGAAAATAGACGTATTTAGGGACAAATTAGATAAAGAAGGAAAATGGAACTCTGAACATGAGGTCAATGTTATGTGGAATCAGATAGCTGACTGTATTAAGTAAATATTGGACATGACCAGTCTTACATGTTAGTTTTTCTCTTGTGAAATTGAGTCATAGAAACCTCCTCCATTGAGACACGAGAAATCATTTGGTTCAACTCTTCCATTTATTTTAGAATTAGGCAAAGAAGAGCCCGTCCAGTTAAATGTTAAAGGACGAAGAATAGAACCCAACCACTTATGATGAGGAGAAAACTGAGTTATGACTTGTTCTTTTTATTTTCCTTTAGAAGTGCTACGCATAATGATAATTTGTTATTTTATTTGCCTCCTCACATTGGTTGAGGCTGATTTTTGTGGATCACCGAGATGTCACCTCGATATCTCCTTGATGCCAAACCTTTACCAATTTTATATGTATACCTCCAATAATAAAAGTTTCTGTTACCAATCAAAAACAAAAAAAGGACAAGTCTGTCTCCTACTGAGTTCATGTTCGAGCTAGTGGATCAGCTGGGGCAAACATGCCACTTTCTGTATGTTGACCTTCTCTTTTGTGCTGTGTATACGATTTTTCTATTTTCATTTCAAAAGAGCCACTATGATTAGATATAATCGATAGACATAATATTCATGTTCCATTTTGTAAAGGCGTACAATGCACTCGTAAGAAGAGGTCATGGTAGAGAATGTTTCTGAAATACAACCATGTACCTTCCAACCTTGGGTACTCTATTGTATGTTCTGCACTTTTCCATCCTTGGTTTCAAGGTTTTCAGCATCAAAAAATCAGAAACTAAGGACCACCCATTCTCATAACCCAACAAAGATAATATTGTTATCTCACATCATAGTTGATCGCAATCCATGTCATCATACTGCAATCACTCATTGACAATGGTTTCAAAAGAAACAGTGGTTTTAACCATTATTATGATTCATAGACGGGCACGCAATTCTCGAAAGTTAAAACCACACAAGATGAACATTTGGCGTGAACATGTTTTGACAACAAGAATAGAATATTATATCATAATTCATGTTTTTGGCCTACGTGTAGAAAGAAACGCATAAACTCTGTGCTCCACATAATGCCCAAGAATTCACATATAAAGCATTTAAAAATATGGCACTCATCAAAAAAAGCAATAAAGGTCAATTCCCCTCACCGTAGATTAAGCAACAAGGAATCATTTTCTCCGAAACATTCATCTACTCTAAGCGTAGATTTGCCAATAAATTCATGACAAAAAAAATGATTTCCAAAAACTCTTCACCAATAAAGCACCGAAACCAAAGGAAGCAAATACTTACAGTGCGGTGAGCTCGTCAATAAGCTCAGGGTCATCCTCAAATCTAGAGTGATCCTTTGGAGAAACCCTAGCTTTTCCCTTCTTACCAGAGCCACCCTTCTTTTTCTTAGAGTCACGCCCCATGAGCCCTTTCTCCTTCTCTCATACTACCAAGAACAATGCACTTAATGCTTCCTAATTAAGCAGAAGAAGAAAAACACACAGATTTCACAGACTAATCCTTGTCATGAGTCACTATAAGAAATTCCGGACTCGTAATCAGCAACTTCCAGATTCACACAACAATTGAATTACTTTTATCAAATCGAATTTTCAACTTCTTCCCCAAAACCATAAACCCTAACTTCATGATCCATTCCTTCCCATTTTTGGCAGTGATATCACAGACCAGGCATTGAATCAAACTGAAATCTCCAGTTTCTTGTGTTATGGAAGGAAACAAAGCAACTGTATCAGAGTCAAGTAAACGGAATTAATCGAAACTTCTAAGAAAGCGTCACGATTTCATCGCCATTAATTCAATAAAAGAGGAAAAAAATTACAGTTACTGGTTCTTAGGATTTATTCAAATTCAAATGAAATTCGAAAAATTACGCCATAAAAGCGAATTTATCATGGGATGAATCGTGTTTATATTAAGCGAAGCATGGGAAATGAGAGTGGCGGCTGTTTATATCTGAACAATATGATGCCCATAAATGCATCCAGCCCGCCAACAGCTTGTCGTTGAACAGGAGTGCGTACGAACACTGTTTTTAAAACCACCCCATTTTTATCCGGATCGTCGATTTGTATAATCGGGTGCGACTAAACTTGGTTTTGGGTTGTATGGGTCCCGGCCTGATTTTTTAAAACCACTCGTATAAAAAAAAAATATTTCCCTTTTTATGTTTATATAATATTTTTTGGGTCATTATTATTATAATTTTTGTTTTATTTTATTTATTTTAAATATTTTTTAGATCACCGATTTGGACTAATAGAGATCCGACAATTCTACATATTTTATAAGTGAACAATCCATCGTACCAGGTTTTAAAATATCGGACACAATTATTTTCAAGCTCATAATTGGTTTTTGGATCGCCCACTTGAATAACCAATATGGATCGACCAATTTGATTTGGTTCGGCTAGTGTTTGAATATGGATCAATTGGGTGGATTGTTTGGCTTATGTATCTGTGTTGGATCGCTAGACTATCGATTTGTCTAGATGCGTAATTTAGAAAAATTATCAAGAAAATCCAAAAATGAAAAATTAAATAAATAAATTATAAACTACCCCGCTCCTATTTCCCCATTAAAAAAAAAAAAAAAATTTTTTAAGCATGTGCCCCAATACTCTTTAAACCACATCACTGACCCCAACATTTTTTTTTTACATCCACCATCCACCCCCAAGTACAAAAGTAACATTTTTTTTTCTTTTTTTTTGTGACGAATATACATTCTCCTTGTTTTTTGTCCCCATTGAAGTTATTCTCACTCATTGTGACGGATTAGTATGCACATTAATAAAGCCGGTTCAACATACATTGTGCCCCTACAAGGATCAAGACTTTACCTGGACTATTGACAACCCCAAATGCTTTTTAAATAAAGGAAAAATTTATATGGAGCCGAGGCTCTAAACAATCAAATTTGAGCCTACCTTAAAATTTTCATTAGAAGAGATTGTTTTGATGCCCAAATATCTTCAAATTGATCATCTCGATATCAAGGTGCATGGACATGAGAAAAAAATAGATCGCAAGTTTTGAAAATAGTGTATTTTTGTAATGTATTTTTGGACCGTCAATTTTCAAGATATCATAGATATGTCGATCTACACTATTTTTGAAGCTTTGAACTTCATAAATAGATATGAAAATATATTTTAAAGCTATCACAAAGATTTTCAATATTGAAACCACATTTCTTAATGCTATTGGGAGGTAGACTCTAATTGGATTGTTTAGATCCTAGGATCTATACAAACCAAACCCTTTGAATAAATCTGTTTGTTAGATCAGAAATTAGGGAAAATTTGGCCCATTTCCAATTTTGTAAGGGAATGCAAGTGGGCCAAATTACCAAGTCGGACCTCTCGCACTTGAGCCAAATGACTTCAATAACTTTACTGGTTCTAGGTTCCAAATCTAAAATATTTTTCATTAAAAAAATATCATTAGGGCCTTAGAGCCTAAAAGAAATTAGGATATTCTAATAATTTAATCTTACTTAAATTACTTGAGTCAAATGATGTAAATATCATTGCTTGTTCCATCCACCAAACATAGAACAAGATATTTAATGAAAAACTATATATATTCCAAGTTTGATGAGACACCTGCGCTAAATGATCTAAACACCCGAGCTTATTTCAGGTTCCAAACTCGGGGCGAGATATTTTAATAAAAACACATTCCTAGTTTGGAGCCCCGAATGAGCTAGGACAGGTAGGTCATTTGGCTGCAGGATAGAGACGGGGGAGAGGTCCTACATTCGAGTATCTGACCAAAAGTCTTCCCAAATTTTGAAATTCACAGCAGATTCTTCACAGTTTATTCATGTTAATGAAAAGAATCATTTCTTAGAAAAGTCCACAGAACACACACTCTTGTTCTCAAGAATTGTCCATAAACCACTCACACTATCCCTCTGTGAATAAGTTCTAAGGTGTAACTTGAGAATTTTGGATGAAGAATACGTCTACATTTTGCAGTAAATCACAAGTACCCTAAACTAAGCCTTATTAATATGTCAGCCATATTTTGAGTTGTAAATAAATATTGTACCAAAACTTCGTATGTAAAAACCATAAATTCAACAGTTCATGAAGGGATGTAGGCTGATACATCTTTTCTCTTTTCTTTTTTTGAATACATTATTTCCTCTAGATTGTGAGTGACAACTAGAAAATGATTATAGAGGCCTGCGATTTGTCGTAGATGATCATGCCACATAGACAGGACAATTAGAAGTTAGTATAGATTAATTAGATGCTCATAATCATAGCCCATTATCAGAAGAGAATTTGAATCATGGAAACCTTATAAATAAGAGAAACTATCCTAATGGTACAGAACAGTACTTCAACTGTAAGATCCACGAGAACAGGCGGACCGCAGACATCGTCATAGTGGTAGATAGTTCAGTTTGTGTAAGAGAAGTTAACAATTCCATCCCTTGAAATTTGCCCCAAAAATCCAAGCAAGCTAACCCAGTCTCTTACTTTCCCTTGGGCTTGCTCAGTAGAAGATACCAGTTTAGGTTACAGAGGCCCAAGATTGAACTCTCAAAGTTTGTCTCAAGAGCACATACAAGATGACAGCCTTTTGTTTGTTTTAATCATTGGCAAGCAGATAAAATGGCCATAGTTAAAACAATCATTTAAGAAAGGAATAAAGGTCTAATAATTGTCATAATATATCAGGAATATGGATCAACCAATCTGTACTAGTGTTTAGGCACTTGCATGATCTAGGAAACTATTCTAAATACATAGCTTAAACTTCAAACATTTTTGCCTAAACTTCCCAAACAAAAATAATTTATCTGTAGAAGACAAAATTAGGCATGTTTAAACAAGGTTATTAACATTTAGGAAGAAAGAACAACATCAACATACTGATGCTAAAAGTTTGATAGAATTGATGCCTTATAGTGTCGCACGCACAGGAATGAGCCCCTTAACCTCCAGTCCTTACCCAACCAAGATAAATATATGTACAAATAGAAAGTAAAACACAAATCAAATGACCAATTTATATCACACATCGTGGGACATTGAATCATCATTCGCTTTCAGTTTAGTATTACTGCTCTCTGCTGATCTTAGAAATGGTGCTGCTTCTGAACTTTTTGTGTCTCTGGCAGGGTAGAGAACATAATGCTGAATGATGAAAAGAAGATCAAAGAAGACCGTCTCCTGCAAATTGTTCACATCACAATGTCATAAGCCAGGACAAAGAATAAATGGTACAAAAGAGATAAATTTCTTAGGGTCTAATTCAAGAGAGAAAAATAAGAACAGAAAGTGTTCCTCTTCTGAGCAACATGAGATTAAAGAGTAGTATAGTCCAAATCAGTGTTAGAAAACATGCACTCAAGCTTGATTGGCTAGGTTCCTAAGCCCAAGTTACACCAGTGATTTTCTTTAATAAAAAACAGGGTTTAGCAGTCAACTCAGTGTGAGTTCCAAGGTTTAGCATCTAAGACTTGCCAGGCCCTGACTTGAGCTGAGTTGGCAATTTTCTAAACACTGATTCAAATGATGGCATCGAAGGTGTTAGATACTCTTGAAATTTTTGAATTGCAGCACTAACAAATCATTGTTATGAATTTCGACAAAATGGTAAACAACAAATTGCCATTGGGATCAATTCATGCTCGGTTTTGAATGTAATGTGACCACCAAAATTAATTGTAGTCTCTTGCACAACCGTCACTTGGCCATTTGGAGTGAAATGATCTTTTGCATGTGCTTTCTGTGTTTCTGTTCTTTTATTAGCATTAGGATTTTGCATAACTTGGATCGAAAACCTAGAAATAAATTGTTTAGACTTTACGCACATACACACAAAACATACCCATAGACATGGGGAAAATGGCTTGGGAGCCATCCAGCCTGTGGATCAGTACATGCCGGATGGCTCAGATTCAATCTCGTGGATCTGAACAGTCGACATGTTTTTATTTTATAAAGCCTTTTGACCTGAAATTCAGGGGAGAGGTTCCTCTGACCTCAGAGCACCAAAAAAAATATGTCACAAAATGACCAAAATTACCCGTCCTTGTTGGTGAATGCTAGCAGTCAAATGGTTCAATCAACACCATCAGCTGACATGTTCAGTAAGCCGGGGCTTATATATATATATATATATATATATATATATATATATATATATACTACACTCTCTACTACTACTACACACACACACAACGACTACGTACGTTCGTTACGTAAGTAGTGT